CTCTCTCTCTCTCTCTCTCTCTCTCTCTCTCTCTCTCTCTCCCCCCTCTGCATTCAACGTATCAGGAACGATGGATTGAGGGAAGCAGGAGGAAGTTAGGAAAAGATGGTCTCGTAAACTTTCAAACTTGTGACTGAATGCTATACACATGTAACTGTCGTCGATAAACAGACCACTTGCTTAATCTCTGATGAAATCAAATGGATCATGGATGTGGATATCTAAGGGGGGGGGGGAATACAGTAAGAGGAGGGTAGAAAAACTGATTGCAATGAAACAATGCTGAAAGCTAAATTGGAAGCAACATCAAGGAGGTAGTCAAAACTGAGAGCAGGGGAATTTTTTGACTTCACTGAAGAAGAGGGAATGAATGAACTTCAATGAAGTGAAGGAAACACACATGTTGTGTTCGAATGGTACCATTCAAACATAACCGTTGATAAACAGGTTATGAGTTCAAATCCTGACAGAATCAGTTCTTATTACTTTTTAATACTCTTTAATAGTCTTTATCCAATAATGTTAGGGGCTTACCCCCTTTTTGAAAATCAAGAAAAAGAATGCACATTGAAGGAAAGAAATATGAGTAGTGGAAGGAAAGTCGATCAATGATGAAGAAGAACGACATTCATAGTGTCCAAATCTCCTGCTCTCTCTCTCTCTCTCTCTCTCTCTCTCTCTCTCTCTCTCTCTCTCTCTCTCTCTCTCTCTCTCTCTCTCTCTCTCTCTCGTGCCCCTCTGCTGTGCTGTGGGCAAGAAACTGCCCTTGTGCTCCCCTCACTGTCACTGACATGCTGCGCGCTGCAGGTCTCTCTCTCTCTCTCTCACACACACACACACACACACACATGTACACTACTGAGTAGTATGCCTACCGAGCTTCGATCTATGGATGCCACCATTGCCTGCTTGATGTCTCATGAAGCAGAGGATCAGTGCAGCACCAAGGTGATGCCTTTCAGGTAAGCACCCCCCATGCCAAACTTCTCCAACACAGTGCTGAGCTCCAGTCACCTTCACAATGTTGCAGCTGTTTCCTCCTCCTCCTCCTCCTCCCCTCCTCCCCTCCTCCCAGGATTTCTCCTCAGAACAGGGTGCCTAACACCTCCCCTTGGGTAGGTCCTAGACCTACAAGTACACAGGCCAAACACTGCACCTTACCCCATACCTTTTTACACCTTGCTAGACCTTGTTAGACCTTCGTCGGCCTCTTTAGACCATTTCAGAGTCTTCAGACCTTTTTTTTAAACCTTGTGGACATCCGTCCTGGGCCCTACTGGATGCTTTGGTGGACCCTCATCGATGACCTGCACACCTTAAATCCTTTTTGGCACAGCTCCAGTCTCTCAAACGTTTTTTTATTTTTTTATTTTTTTTTAATATTTATTCTCCCCTGAGATCTGAAACTTAGGCTAGTAGTCTTTGGAAGGATAGGAATCGGACTGATGCTTCCCCTAGAATGGAAAGGAGCCAGAATTGTACGGTTCTGTTCTTTTTGTAAACAATTAACATGGCCCCGGCGCAAGGATGCCACACATAAACGGATAACGGTCCACAAGTTTAGGGAGGGAAAAAAAAAAATAAAAAAATCCTAGGAGGAACCCGCTAGGTGTGTTTGACCCTCCTTGAGGGGGTTTGGAGGGGGGGGGGCCCGGGGGGCTTTCATCCGGTACTACCGGGGTAGTGTTCAGTCTCCCTTAAAGGAGGCTCAACAAGCCTTCCATTCGGGAGCGGAGGAAAAAAAAAGGGCAATCGACAGCGGTAGAGCACGAACGGGCCTAGCTCAGTTGATAGCTTGATACACCCATAAACTGTTGATGCACTGAGCTGTTGAATTACAGACCTGAGTTTTTTCGAACTCCGATGGAAGCAGATGAGTAAAATACTAAGGAGAAAAAGGAAGGCCCCTGGGTAGGAAAGAAGAGGATCCCCCCAGTGCCTAAGAGAAAGGGACGGGAACGGGAACGGAACAGACTTATCAGACTTACGCAGAAGGAACACATGCACTGATTGGAATGGAGGGTGCCTGAATAAAGAGTAGCAGTTATGAGAAGGGTTCAGAGAATGGAGCAGCAATGGAGATAAAAGAGAGGAGAGAGAAAAGGGAGAAGAGAGAGGGAGGGGGGAGAGGAGAAAGATAAGTCCATAGTACTCCATACTCGCCTAAGATTTTTTCTGTTCTTTTGTTGTTGTTGTTGTTGTTGTTTTCCCTTTTTTTGTTCTTTTTCTGTTCTCCCCTTTTTGTATTTTTTTTCCCCCTTTTTCTTGTTTTTTTTTTTTTTGCCCTTTTTTTTTTTTTTTTTTTTTTTTTTTTTTTTTTTTTTTTCCCGTACTGTCTGTGACTTTTCTGTGTCATTGCTCTTTTTACACTCGTCCAGATTTCAGGCCAGTGCTATGTTGGGCATGTACCGTAGGATGAGGGTGATCGTACCACGACCAATTCAATCACTGCCTCGAAGATCGAGTACGCCTCCTGGTCCTTGGGACACTGATGTAAGTTTTTTTTTTTTTTTTTTTTTTTTCCTTTCTAATGCGAGATTTATTGCGAAATATTCTTCAATAATGAATGCTCTCAGCCCGAGTTTCTGGTAACTTCTATTAATTTAAGGCTTTAAAGTTTAAATTTTAAAAGTTTTAAAGTGTAATGTTTGAAGTTTTAGGTTCAGACTCTTCAGAGTCTAAAGTTAAAATTTTTAAACCATCACTCCCTCCATGTGACCTCACCCCCACCCCGGTTATAAAGTGGCTTGCCTGTTTTGATTGGTCCTTGGGATGAACAATTCGACAGCCCCCATCGGCAACAGGCTTTCTTTTCTTGGTATGCCGCAGGAGTCGGCGTGAATATCAGGAGGTAGTGGAGGCTTAAGCCCTCTGGATGTCCACACCCATGCTCAGGAACTGAACTATCAGATTAGCTAACTTGTATGGCCTCACTAGCTAGGCTACAAGAGTGGCCCGGGACCACTTGCCCGTCCGGGCCAGAAAGAAGGGAAAGAAAGAGGAAAAAACGGTAAAGAATACAGATCCGACCCTGATGCAAGGAAAATGAGCAACAGCGACACGACAAAATCCAGAATGCACAATCCCATTGAAAGCCAGTATGTGGCATTCTGACACCACACGGGCCCCAGTTAGCGCCCGGCTCTGTAGTTAGGCTTAGTTAGGCCTAGGGTCAGGGGTCACGTCGGTTCAGACCAGTAGGTCAGACCAGAGGCTGAGTAGGCCAATGGTCACAAGGGCCAGGCCGGTACCCGTCCAACACTAGGACCTACCGGCGGCGGAGTTTTGAAGGCGGCCAAGTTTAGGCGCCACTTTTCAGAGTTCGGATCGGATCTGAACCGTTGGACTGAAGCAACGGTCCAGACCCGAAGGTACCAGCAGCCTGGACACCGGCCCAGCGCTATACCAGCTGGGTACCAGCCTCAGTAGGGAGGCTAGTCCAGGACAGCGTTTTGGCGTTAGGATTAGCGCAGCAGCGAGGAGGATTAGCACAGAAGCGAGGAAGATTAGCGCAGCAGCGGTTAGCGCCAGCTCTCTGGCCCAGCCCGCAGCCCAGCGCCCAGCTCTGCAGCGCCATAGCTGCATCGCCAGGCTCGGCCTCAGCGGACATCGGCAGGGACAGCTCGGTCACTCAGATATCGGGAAGAAAGGCTTCACCTTTCTTCCCTCCTCCTCTTCTCTTCCTCTCCTCCTCCGCCTCTCTCTCCTCCTGCCCTCTAAGTCTAAGTCTACTTCTTGGGTTACTCCTACTGGACTTCTACGGGTATGAAGGATGGTTACAAGTTCTGATGATATCAGGAGGCCACGACAGTGAGACTTTCGGTTGAGGACTACTTTTGGGGGATCTGACTTCATCTACCTCCGGAGATGTATCTTGGCATTGAGAGATCGATATCTGGGACACTGTGAGACTCTGTGTTCGCGACATTTCAGATTTTCGCTACTTATGACATTTCGAGATACTATTTTTGGAGACATTTAGTTGACGTCCTCTTCCCTCTGTTCCTCCCTTCGTCTCTCCTCCCCTCCATTCATCTGTGTATGAGATTAGACCCTGGCCTTTTCTTCCATAACCAAGGCCAGGGCTTTCACACCACCGATGTATGTTTGTGAGGGATTCGTTGCAGTCTGAGTCAGGTTTGAGTCAGTCCATGTGTATCAAGTCTTCCGCTGTAATTGTATTTGCTCTGTATTATCTGGTCGGTTCTGGGATTCTGCGCCATACTTATGTCTGTGTTCACGAGTATGCAAGAGTTTGGTATCGGAGCAGACCAGCATTGGATGACTCGTCATCAATCGATCGATTGATGGATCAAGCTGCTCAACTAGCGCTTGATCAACCAATTGATTGATTGATTGATTGATTGATTGTTTTCACCTATACTCTGTTATCATTATAAGTTTTCTTCTTTTCGTTGCTGATCAAGTCAGTTTTGACCTATTTGTAGGTTTCGGCCATCTCCGATTTTGCGTGATCAGGGTAATTCACGAAAACGCGATTAACCCTAATTAGCGCAGATTAGGGTTAGGACTAACCTAAATCTAGACCTAACGACCGATCTCTCCAACGGATAGTAGCGCCAGCCAGGCACCCAGCCTAATTAGGGCAGATCGGGCCTGAGCACGGCCACATTCAAACTGCAACTTCTCGGAACATTCACTTTTTGCCAATTGCATCTCTTTTGCGATCAAAGCCTAAATCTTTGCAGCAAATTGTGTATCTTCCAACTACCATTCATCTGATACTTACCTCATGACCTCCAAATCCCTACACTATAGAAATTGCTAATCCCGCAGTATGTAACAAATCGCCGATCTGGGCCGTCGACTCCTCTAAAACTGGAAAAAGAAAGATCAACTCATGTTTGTCGACCACGATGGTCAGGCAACAGAGATTGATGACTTCCCAGACTAAGGGGAGGAGACAGAGCAGGATGGGGCCAGCGAGACTTCGGATGGGGGAGTCGTGGCACCCATCAAAGAGAAAGCTAGGGAGACCGGGAAGCAAAAGGTAGGCCGGTCCAAGGGTCAGGGCGACCAAGGAACACCCCCCTGGGTAAAACTTGGTTTAGATTATGAGGTGTGGCAAGACCGAGTTGCTAGGGGCACGTCTATGAACTGTGGCAACCATGGCCACACACTTCTCGTACGAGCCGAGGCAAAAAGGTCACCATGAAGGTAGCCTCTCCAACAGTGGTGAGCTTATCTTCGAACCCTGGCAGTGCGTCTGCGTGCACTTTGCAGGGAAACACCTCAGGCCAGTAGGAGTGTTAGCCGCTCTTACTCGTGTTGAAGTGGTAACGTTGCCTTCCCCACTTCAAGCGTTGGCGAAGGCTAGTGACCCGTCCAGCGCCCCTCAGACACATTCAGATCCACCGATGCTCCGTTCAAGAGATGTGTTTCGAGAGATGTGTCTGACTCCCTAGAAGAGTTACAGACTGAGTGGTCAGGGAAGGACCACAGAGACTCTTGGGCGATGATAAGTAAAGGTCCTAGGGGTGAACATTTCGTGGTAGAGGTTGATGTAGGTGGCCGCAAAGTGGGTGCCTTCGCAGACATAGGCTCTACACAAAACTTCATCAGTCATGCTTGGTGCCTTCGCAGACATAGGCTCTACACGAAACTTCATCAATCGTGCTTGTGTGGATAGGTTGCGCTTAGGGGACCAAGTGCAGCGGCTTAGCAGATCTGTAGCATCTACGCTAGCCAACAAGCATCGTATGGTTGTCCAAGACTATGTCAAAGACGTAGTCTGCACCTTCTCCTATGGAGGAGGGGAAGTGAAACATAAAATTGCATTCCTTGTCAGCGACGAACTGTCATTTGACATGTTGCTAGGTATGTACTACCTCGAGGTCGCTCAACCTCAGTTCGATTGGGATAGAAAGGTATTGATCCACAAGTTGCCCAACGGTAGAACCGTTCGATTGCAAAGTTCAAAGCTACCAGTCTAGTGGAAAACTATGAGTGTATGTGTGCATCTTCCTTCTATAACTACTATAAGCAGAATCGCGAGGAAGGCATGTATCTAGTCTTTGTCTCTGAGAAAGGGGAGACCATAAAATCACCCCCTGAGATAGAATCAGTCGTCGCTCAGTATTCCGACCCTTTTGAGGAGCCCATAGGTGTGGTGGAAAGGGAGGTGGTCCATGCAATAGAGGTTGTCCCAGGTAGTAGGGTGCCTAGAGGACGAATTTATATGAGTCTCCTGCGGAGTTGGATAAGCTCCGCCGCCAGCTCAAAGAGCTCACAGAGAAGAGATGGATTCGGCCAAGTACCTCCCCTTACGACACGCCAGTCTTATTTGTTCCTAAGAAGGGAGGTACACAAAGGATGTGCATTAACTATAAAGGCCTCAATGCCATCACCGTAAAGAACGCAGAGCCCCTACCCCGCATCGACGACCTACTGGATAGAATGCAAGGATGCCCTTACTTTACTAAGATAGATCTAAAGTCCGAATACCATCAAATTGTCATTAGACCTGAGGACCAACACAAAACCGTTTTCCATACCAGGTACGGTCTGTACGAGTTTGTGGTGATGCCCTTTAACCTATGCAATGCACCTGGAACATTCGAGCACGCAATGAATAGGATTTTTCATGAATACTTAGACAAGTTTATCGTCGTGTACCTCGACGATATTCTTTAGTAGGACTGCAGAGGAGCGTGCTGAGCACTTGAAAATAGTGCTAGGTCTCCTAAGACAACACCGGTACAAGGTCAACCTGGAGAAATGTGAGTTCGGTCGCACCAAGATCTTGTACTTGGGTCATGAAATCTCTACGGATGGGTTGAGGCCAGACAATGCCAAAGTGGCCAGCATACGAGACTGGCCCAGACCTCAGACAGTTACTGAGGTCCGGTCATTTTTGGGGATGACGAGCCATCACCACCTGTTTGTTAAGAACTATAGTACTATAGCTTCCCCACTAATTGACCTAACACGCCTTGACACCCCTTGGGAGTGGACCGAAGAGTGTGAAGCAAACTTCAAGAAATTGAAGTATGCTTTGACACACTACAAAGTCCTCAAACTTCCAGACCCTGATCAACCATTTGTAGTGACCACAGACGCCAACCAATATGGCATAGGCGTGGTCCTTGCGCAAAGGGAAGGGAAAAAGTTGAGGCCAATCGAGTACATGAGCAAAAATATGCCATCCCAAAAGCTAGCAAAGTCCACGTATGAACGTGAGCTTTATGCCCTCTACAGAGCGCTGGTCCACTGGAGACACTATCTCCTAGGCAGATTCTTCTACTTGAGGTGTGACCACGAGACTTTGCGCAGGATTAAGACACAACCTATACCCTCTGACGCACTCAAACGGTGGATTGAAGTGATAGACATGTATGACTATCAACTTGATCCAATCAAGGGAGAGTACAACAAAGTGGCTGATGCACTATCGCGAAGGGCATATTATCTGGGCGCGCTAGTAACTGAGTTTGGCATATGTGACGACGTAACTCGATCCTTGGTGTAGACCT